TCCAGGCTCCTGTCAGGAGCTGTGCAGAGCCAGAAGGTCTCCCCTGAGCCTCCTTTGCTCCAGGCTCAACAACACCATGCTACCATCTGCAACACCTGCAGCTCTAGAAAATAATCTCTTGAAAAAAGAGAAGCAGAATTAGACAATTATAGAGAGGACTGACTTCAGAGCAAAAAGCAAAACAGCCAAAAATTCAGCTTGAAAGTTCTCCATTAAATCAAAGGACTGAACACGGAGTTCAGCAACAAATCCCAACTCCTGCCTCAAGACCATCCTCCCAGATTAATAACACCACAAAGGCAACTCATGCTCACCTGTAGGTGGAATTGTTCTTTCTGTGGCACCTCCTCTGGGACTACAGTACTCAGTTTCTGTTATTTCTGCTCCATGATTTCCAAGTAGATCATTAGGTTTCAAAGGTAAAGGAAAAAAAAAAATCATCAACTAGCTTTGAGCAAGAAGAGCACAAATTGATAGGAAGGTTTCCAAGCCTCAGTGTGCACAGCTTGGCTTTGTTTGGATCAGCTGAGCACATTTGAGCACGTTCAGCAAATGAAGAGAAAAAAAAAAATCAACAAAACCAACCCCACAAGTGACAAAACTTGATGCTTTGGGGACATTTCTGTCAAGAGAGTCTCATTGACCCAAACGTGGCCAGCTGGGCCTGTGAGAAATCAGGGCAACCTGGAACACTCCAGAAGGACACTTCTAAGTGGTGCTCGAGATGGGAGGACCAGCCTGAACCTGCCACACATCATCAGTAGCTCTGGAGAAGGAGCTTGCATTTTTCTGGATGCCAAGGGAAGTTCTTCCAAAGCATTTCCACTCTTTCTGTGCTGATACAAGACCATCCAACTCTTCCCATCCCCTGCTTCACCCAGGGGTTTCTGTGTTACTGTTTGTATCCCCTGGCACTGCAACCCCTTCTCATACAAAGATATAAACAGACATGATACCAGGTCCAAAAAAAACCCTGTATGTTCTAGAAAAGGTATCTGAGAGTGTGTGAGGGAGGGGAAATGCCTTGCCTCAAGTCCTACAGGACAGGGACAAGCCAGGAATGTTACTCTCCATGCAGCAGGTCTAAACCCATGAGGTTCTCTATTGCTCAGC